AATGAAAAGCTGGTTTGGTTCTATATCCTAATATGATTAATGGACAGGACTTTTGGAGTATGCTAAAGGAATATAATGGCAATTTTGAGCTCATAAAGTCTAACACATTTGTAAGGTTGTAAGGACATATATATTTGTGACCAGTGGGAGATTGTTGGAAAAATTTGGGTCATGTATATATATGATACATAATTTAAATGTGTTAGGGCCATTATTTATTAAGCCAAATAATAAAGTGATCCGACTAAATTAAAGTTTTGGCTAAAAGCATATGTCATGAAAATAAAATTGTGTAGAGACCATAGAGCAATTTCTAATTTGATGAGGGCCAAATTGGAAATACTAAAACTTAAGTAATTAACCTAATTCTGGTTATCTAAAGGGTCATGGTCCCCTTCCGAGAGCACACACGTAACGTAAGTATCAGTCCCGTTCCTTTCTTTCTATCCCCATCAAGAGAGAAAATCAAGAGGGAAATACGAGTGCTCTTCGGTGGAAGACCATAAGATCAATATAGTGCTCTACAAAGACATCATCGTTATGGCTAATTCAAGTACGCTTTGCATTCGGCTTTACAAGATGTTTATCAAGTATGGGATTATGTTTATGTTTGATTGTTAGAATCAAAATCGGGATTATTATTATTGTTATTGTTTTTCCAACAAGGTTCCCCTCATATAATTAGGTTGTACATTTATGAAAAGTTTGTGAGATTTTTTAGAGTGTTCCATTTATTTGAGTGTCTTATCTTGAACCTTGGTTCAAGTGGCGACAACCACTACTTATCTAGAGTGGTTCATCCTCCAGTAGCGTGTCAACACTCTACCACCATACTTCTCTTCTCTTCCTCTTTTCTTCTTTATTTATTCACTTCATTGATTTATCCAAGGAGCTAGTCTATTTTTCCAACCTTTATCTTTATTTTTTTATAATTTCATTTTATCTCTTCTTTCTTCTATAATCCTTGAAAATAAACATTCACATTATCTTAATATCTATTAGAAATTTTTGTTAAATTTACTTATTTTATTACTTAAAATTCCCCAACTTATCTTTTTTAAATTTTCTACCTTACTTTATTTTACATCACAACACCTCTGTCAACAACGCCTTCTCCTCCGAAATTGACTCCACCCACCCACTCCTCGAAGTTCTAACCGAGTGCGCCTCCCTAGAAGAAATTGAATCAGGCCATGAGATACCTCTTTTCTCGCATGAAGCAAGCAAGACCTAGAAGAGTGAAGCGTCAAACAAAAGGAAGGACTTCGCAAAAATTCTCATCCAAACACAAGATAATCGGACATAAAAATCTAAGATAACATGTGTAAAAATACTTCTTGTGTAATAACGAAGTGAGTTAGTTAATACAGTAAATAAATTAATGTAAGTAATGAAATACAAAATGATATAGCCCTTATCAATCCTTAACTTTTGTTAAAGAAATATTTATTCTTAAGAGATATCTTGGATGAATATTTTAAATTTATATTTTTTTGACATATTATACAATAAATATTATTTTCATAAAATCAGTTATTTCTTATTGAGTTGTCTTTATCATATTATAACTTACTATCTTTAAAAAATAATCAACCAATATTAATCTCCTTCAATAAAAAAAGTGATTCATGAACTCTAAGGATCAAACTCTTCAATATAAAAGAACGGTGTCAGGATATTACATATTTCTATATTATTTTTATTTATGTTGCTTCTATTAAACCAAGCAAGATTACTTATCAAATGAGAAAGTTAGATAGATTTTGTAAATTAATCAAATAATAGTAATATTTGACTAAGATTATTCAAAATATTTATTAATATTAATAAGTAAAAACTAAATACAAACTAAGATTCTAACTTTTTTTTTTTTCATTTATATTCTTTATACTTAACGTGAATTAAAAAACACATTTAATAAAGAAGAATCACTGTAAGAAAATTATTTTTTAAGAATTAGACCAATTCAATTCTTGAAACCATTCTCAACAGTCAACCTATGAGATTTAAAAAAAAAATTATTCCCCTATATTTATGAATTTTGTATGGTGAACCTATTAAGTGACGTATTAACGGTTGAATAGGATTGATACGTGTATTTTTTTTACCTTTTTTTTTTTTTTGCGTTCCAATCAAATTTTTATCTACTTCTCAATATATTTTTTTTCCATTTTGATCCTCCATTAGTTATAACTTTAGTTTACTCGTAAAAATATTAGATATGTGTTAGATCCCTAAATTAAATTAAGATACATGCAATTAATATGAAATGATAAATAAAAATGTTTTGACTTTATTAATCAATTCCAAAATGCAAGCATGGACATTCATAGTAGCATTAAGTCCAAACAAACTTACTAACAAATTAATAACACAATAACTAACTAACTGGCCTCACACGCCACACTCCAATCCTCATCACACACGGGGATCATTCGTGTTCTGCGTTTATATTATTTATCAAATTCAACTTAATTAGAAATAATTCATTTTTTTATATATTTAATTTGGATTCACCCTACCCATTAATCAACGTAATATTATATAATATTAATTGTAAAATAATTATTATTTAATTTATGTAATTATTATATTAGTTATTATATTTTTTTAAAATATTCAAATATTAAATAATATAATTAATTTTAAAATAATTTAAAACTTTTATAATTTAATTAACTCAACTCAATTTACAAAGAATTTTTTATTGAATTAAATCATGGATTTGACTAAACCCGAAACAATTTAACCCATGTTCATCCCAGCTGACTTCTATTCTTTAGAATTTCTTCAGAAATTAATTAAAGTTTTCTTAATTGGTCTCTGAAAGTTATGAGTTCTTTTTTTTTTTTTATTCTGTAAATCTATACAATTATTTTCTTTTATAAAGTTTTTATTGTCTGTTTTGTTAGTATGTAAAGAGATAGGAAAGTAAGTAAATATATATACACTTGACTATTTGTTTACATATTTCAATAAATAAATGTTTGAAATGAAACTTCATTTTATTTATTAATGACAGTTGAATTTTTTTTTTTAAATTAAGTTTTTTTTTCTATTACGTAATCTCTGGTGTCCACTCCTTGTATTTTTATTATGGTTTAGTATTCGTTTTTTTATTATAAATTAAATATATTTTTACCTTAATTTAAACTATTGTGTCGTCTGTCGTTAAAATATATATAAATATGAAAGCTAAACAATATATAAAACAAATTTGAGTTAAATATAATATCATATTTATTTTAATTTGTATATCATTAAAAAGTTTAATAATAAATTTAATGAAAAATATATAAATTAGATCTCACATTAAATGAAAAAAATGAATATAAAAAAATATTTAGAAATGATAAAGACATTTGAACAAATGAAAACATCAATAGCAAATAACTTTATATAAAAAAAATAGCTATAACTAAAATTGATAAATATTTTGGTGCCAAACATACATAATATAATTAAAAAAAAAACAATAAACTTTTGAGGTTATTCACTTGAACCTCACCCATGTTTTCAAATGTGATATTTTGAATATGTACTTCATGTACATTGACCATGGGTACTTCAATGCTCCTTCTCCCAAAATTTATTACATGCTACCGTAAGTTCCTTTAACTTTTTTATGTGATGCTCAAGGAAACATGACTTGGTAAACCAACTTTAATTTAGACAATTTAAGTAGTTAGTTATAGAAACTTAAATACACCTTAATTTCTCTCCATCACAGGAAAAAAAAAACTAAAATATGCAGTCTAACAAGTTTCTCAGTCTAATGTACATAATTATCTACAAACATGGCACAGCTAATCAATGAAGTACTATTTTAAATTAAGGAAGTCAAGATTTTACAAGGAATATTCACAGTATACAAGTAAAAGATGCTGCATTGAAATGCTGTGACTTGCTCCATAAATTCACATGAATTTCCCAACCAAACTATAAATTTATGGAACGCATAAAAAATAGTGACCATGCCAAAATTATTGTGGTTGATTCAAACAGTATTGGTTTGTTTTCTTGGTTTATTGTGGTTAATTCAAACAGTATTGGTGCTAGAAAAGTTGTGACTTGACTTGTCTATTCAAACAGTCAAAGGAAGAACCACCCTGGACTTTGCTTCATCTCAATTATTCCGTGTGAGAGTCTGAGCCATCGAATATATGGTTGACTAATCGAGAGGCCATATTCGATTTTGTGTGCACAAAGTACACAAGTTGGTCAAAACCCAGAAAGCAGATAAATGGAAAAAATATTTCCTGGTGCAGCCTAGACGAAATTACTTTGAAAATATGCAGAAAATTAGGGGACAAGGCACACAGTGATTTAAAGCCCTTTTTCATTTGTTTCATTCTGTTCCAATAGTCCAACCCATTATATGGAGAAAGTACTTGTTCTATCGTTCAAAACATTAATTCGTGTCTCATGTGGATCGTGTTCAATGTTCACATGTGAGTTAAACACAAACATAAAGACCGAAACGTGTTTGAAGGGGTATACTCCTCTCAGTATAGAACCTAGAGGAGGGAGTCCAATTTACTCCTTACCATCTGTCAAAATCTGGATAACCGTTAAGAAACTTTTCTATCTCATATTTTAGTTTTGACCACATTTTAGATACAAAATCTTAACATGTTAACAGGGTTGTTGATAAAATTAAATTTCATCTCAATAGACAGTTTGGTCCTAGACAATCTTTATATATATCCTTTAACTTTTACCATGCTTCCAAAATGAAATGTCCCCAAGGCAAAGGTAAAACTAGATTCAATATCCCACCCACGCAAACAACTTTAAACCATGACCAAAGTAGATGAAAGAGAAAAATATATTCTTAAAAAATTCACAACGGACTCCTATAAAAGGAAATCCCCATCAATTCATTAGATACCCATTTCGTTGTCATCACAAAAGCCATAGTATACACCAGCTTAATCATCAAGCTACACAAACAAACACCACCACTTTCATTCACTTTGGCTATATATTTTTTGTTAAGCATGCAAGGTAACGTGGCAATGAGCTTCTTCCAACGCCGGTTTCTGAGCCAGCAAATGCGAGCACAAGTGTTGGCGAGGCGAGTGTCGGAGCCGTGTGACGTGTTCCTGAACCATCGGTGCATGGACACGAAGAAGACGGTGGCGACGTTGATGTATGACCATTTGAAGAGGCACGGGTTCAACCCTTTCTTGGACAACAAGAACATGAAGCCAGGGGACAAACTGTTTGATAAAATCAACAGGGCTGTCATGGAGTGCAAGATTGGAGTGGCGGTTCTGTCTCCGCGCTACACTGAGTCCTACTTCTGCCTCCACGAGCTTGCGCTTCTTCTCGGGTGCAACAAGAAGGTCATTCCCATCTTCTGCGACGTTAAGCCTTCGCAGTTGCGCGTTGTCAACAACCCTAAGTGGTCCGAAGATGAACTTCGCCGCTTCAGGTGGGCTCTTGAGGAGGTTAAGTACACCGTCGGACTCACGTTCAACTCCTCCAAAGGGTAATCATAAATTATCACTTATCACCCACGTTATATTTATTACATTTTATAACAATTATATAAGGTGAAAATATCTTCTACGTCTGCTGCCAATTCATTCAACAATTATATATTTGCTTATGGTTATTAATGCATGCAGGAACTTGTCAGAAATTGTGAATAGTGCTTCTGACATCGTCATAGGAAGCATGATAGAGCTGGAGAATGAAGAGAGGATGCAGCGTAAAAACTTGCCAATTCCTCTTTAGAGCTCAAGACTTCAAGATGTTGAACAATTCTAACCATACCCTTCTCATCTGGAAATAATCTTTCTTTGTCATCATAATCTGTTTTAATAATTAATTGTTTCTTCATTGATTTAATTCTTATTTCAATAAGGTCTTAAGAAATAACACCAAAATCTTTTATTTTGTATCTTGTACTATATATATGATGTAGCCAAAGCAATGAAAAGTGCTTCAATCCATGCATTTGTTCAATAAAAATACTCTCGCTGTTATACTCTTTTTATCTACAATAAAATAGTAAATAAATGAATAAGGTAAAATTAATTGACATTTATTTTTAGTTTTGTTTATATTTAAAGTAGGAAAGAGTATTTAGGGGGTTGATCTTGATTTGGAATTACAATAAAACCTCACCTAAATGATCAATCCATCCTCTCTGAACTTGATTAGAAAAAATTGAGTGGAAACGATTCAATTTTTTCTTAATTTAAAAAACCGGGAAGGGGATAATGTAATTTTTAGTGCATTCTAAATCTTAAACCCTAAATTTCATTTAAATCTTAAAATATTAATATTTTTGTAGATAATTTCTTTTTTCATTATACAAAATATAATTTCTTCTTTATTTCATATTAACACTATTCTCTTTCTTTAATTATATCACCACAAGAAATTTTATAATTAGTTAAAAAAATTTGCTACAAAATTTATTTTTCATTAATTTGTAGCTAATTAGCTATGAAATAGTGAAAGAATAATGTTATAGTTAATTTGTAGTAAAATAGCTAGAAAACTAATATTTTTATAGTTATTCTCTCACTTATCAGAAAAATAATTTAATTAGGAAAATTTTTGTCACTAATCCCTCACTATAAATATTAGTTATGTTACTTTTTGAAGCTATTTCCTAACTAAATTGTATAATATACAATCATAACTAAACTATAGCAAATTTATAACAAATTTCAAATTGAAAAAAATATTAAATTGTTGGGAACCATTTTTATAAATTATTTTAGTTTTATAAAAAATTATTTACAAAAAATACTTGTAAATTTCTCTAAAAATATATAATTATAAAAAATAATTTTTTATCTTTTTGAAAAAATATCAATAAAAATTAATTACAATTTTTTCTTAAAAAAATTATTTTTACCAAATTTACCATAAATATATAATTATATATATAAAAAATATTTTTTTATCTAAAATAAATTATTTAGAAATAATTATAATTTTTTTTAAATATCTAAAAAAATTGATAAATATTTAAAATGATTTTCTGTAAGTTTTTTGTAAATTTAATTTTGTTGGAAGTATTTAATAATATTTAAATTAATAGAAAATTTTATAAATAATATTTCTTTATAATTCTTTTAGAAACTATTCTTTATAAAAAAATAAAAAAATATATTATATTAAGAAATACTAATTTTTTTTATAATTCTTTTAATCAAAATCTTAATTAATCTTTTTCCCTTTCTTCTTCATATATCTTTTTCTCATAAAACCTAGCTGATGTTGTTTAAGCTACCATCGCTCCCGCACCGATTTTTCTCCCGCTCCAGCACCATTCTTGCTCCTGCTCCATTCCTGCTCTTGCTCCCGCTCCCGCGCCACTGTCGCTGCTGTCCCGTCGCTTCCGCTTCACTGCCACACCACTTCCACACGCGTTGCCGCTATCGTTCACATTTTCTCACGGTAATCTCTTCTTCATTTTCTTTGGGCATAGTCATGGATAGGTATCAGAAGGTGGAGAAGCCTAAGCCCGCAACAAGAATGAGATCTGAATCACAATCCAGGGTGTTATTCGCAACTACATCACCTACACCACTTCGCTTCTTCAGGTCCTTTAATGTTAGGTTACCTTTCGTGAATGTGTTGATGATTCAGTACAATTGTTAAGTGGTAAAAAGTTGATATAATTATGCCTTAAATTGTTATGAAACCACTTAACTTATGTTAATTCTAATATATTTTTCTCCCAATATAGGATGAATTCGAGAATACCTTGATACAAGAGTAAGGAGCATAATTGTCAGCATAATTAGAGTAAAATTGAAAGAAAGAAGAGCGCTTAAGCGAATGAATGATGCGAGGCCCGACCCAAATTCTCTTATAAAAAGATAAGTTGTGTTTTGAGAAAAGCAAGCAGTCTTGGAGGAGAGGAGACACGACTACTGTTAGGGTTTTGTCTAATCTTCATCAATTCTTCACTTCTTCATCAATTGGAGCATTGTAATGGCCAACATGAGTGACTAACTTCATTCTCTTAGGATTCGGTGCACTTCCTTTGAACTCTTTTGTATCATGGTGATATTTTGAGATATTAATCTATGCTTTGATGTTGTTATTCTTGTCCTTTATGCTTTGGAATAATTTATTCTTGATTGTTTGAGGTATGATTGGAAAATATATCTTGAACCCTAGATCACGGTAAGAATATTTGTTACGTTAATTTCCAGGAATGGAATGAATGTATCAATTGCTTAACACTCTAACCCTCTGGAAAATTTGTTAATTGTGTGAGGAATCAACATTTATTAGGTTTTCTTATGAATTTCATGTGTGAGGAATCAACATGGATGATTTGAGTAGGTGACATCAACATTGTTAGGTTAATTGACGTTCTTAATTGACATAACCATTACAAAAGAGGGATAAGGAAGGAAGTCAATCCTAAGTACCTTTAATTGATATTTTCTCAACAATTTACAGTTCTTTGTCATTTAATTTCAATTCAACTCTTATTTGCAAAACCTAATCTGTTTTAATCTACTTAGTAAGCATAATTGAGAATTTCCATTGAAATTGTTCCTCGTGGGATCGACTTTTATTTAATCGAAATACTATACTGCGATTGATAATGTTGGTACGCTTGCCAATAATTCAACAAGTATTTCTGGCGCCGTTGCCGGGGAACGGTATTCTTTGAGAATTATTTGTTTAGCTTATTGAGTATTTTATTTTTATTTCGTATTATTATTATTATTATTATTATTATTATCATTATTATCATTATTATTATTATTATTATTATTATCATTATTATCATTATTATTATTATTATTATCATTATTATTATTATTATTATCATTATCATTATTATCATTATTATTATTATTATTATTATTATTATTATTATTATCATTATCATTATTATCATCATTATTATTATTATTATTATTATTATTATTATTATTATTTAGTTTTTAGTTTGTGCTAATATTTGCTTGAGTTACTCTTTTGATTTATGCGTTTAAGATGACACGTATCTTCGAAAAAGGGAAACTCAAGAACAAACTACAAGAGAATCTGCTAATTCTTCTTTCACACTTGATTTACCAAACCCAATTATAGAAGATATGGCGGAAGAAGGAGCAAATCTGAATCCAAATTCAAATACAAATCCAAATCAAAACCCAAATACAAATCCACCTCGAAGAACTCTTAGAAATTGTGCTATGCAGCAAGGTCCAAGATATTTTTCCAGCATTGTCATTCTGGATGATCATACATTGCAGATGAATCCAGCTTTCTTAAGCTTGATTAGTGCTCATCAATTCACTGGATTGGATCATGAAGACCTTTATATTCATTTGTCTACTTTTTATGAGTTGATTGGTACCATGGGATTTAGAGCAGCAAATCTTGAATATGCATATTTGATATTATTTCCTTTTTCTTTGGCAGATAGGGCAAAAGAATGGCTGAAAGCACATCCTAATCAGAGTAGTGTAGAAGAGAAGTTTCTGAATAGATTTTTCCCACCTTCCCGCTACATCAAAGCAAAATCTGACATCACTTCTTTCAGACAAGGAGCAGATGCGCAATTTTGTGAAGCATGGGAGAAATTTAAATCACTGTTGAGAAGTTGCCCAAATCATAGATTTGATGACGTTTCTCAGTTGAATATTTTATATGCTGGCTTGCGACATGATGCAAAGATGTTATTAGAGGCTGCAGCAGGAGGATCTATGTTGAATGTAGAAATTGATCATGCCACCAGAATTATTGATGCACTAGCCTTTACAGACCAACAGACCCAACATGATAAACATCCAATTCAAAGGAAGGGAGTACTTGAACTTAACAGCTCATATGCTATCTTAGCCCAGAATAAACTTATAATGCAACAAATTGAAGCATTGAACAAGAAGATAGAGAAATTACCTCAACAAATGCACACAGTACAATCTATTCTTAATCAACAGATGAGTTGTGATGTGTGTGGAGGTGATCATGCAAATGAACAATGTTCTTATCAAGGCAACATTCAGCAAGAAGAAGCTAATTATATGGGGGCCCAAGGTAGTAGTCAAGGCAGGCAAGGCAATTTTCCTAATCCCAATAATTATCAGAATAATTTTGCACAAGGATGGAGAGGGAATCAAAATCAGAATCAGAATTTTGGGTGGAACCAAGGTGTTAGCTCATCTACTAGACAACCTGCATTTCAACAACAGTCATATCAGCAATCCCCATATCAACAGCAGTAACAACATTATCCTTCAGTGTCTGACAAAATAAGTAAATTGGAGGATATTGTAGAAAAATTCATGCAAAACACTATGGCTAATCAGAAAAATACTGAAGCTTCATTCAGAAATATAGAGACCCAGATAGGCCAACTGGCTAAGCAATTATCTGAGCAGCAACAAGGAGGACAATTTTTAGCTAACACACAAACCAATCCAAAGGAGCAATGCAATTCAATAACTAAAAGGAGTGGAAAAGTTGTAGGTAAGAGGATTGGTGACAATATAGTTGTTGAAGAAGAAGTTTTGGTAAAAGAAGATGAAAAGCAAGAAGAGGAGAATAATAAAGAAAGACATATTCCTAATAAGAAGAACGAAGAGAAGATAGAAAAAGGAGGGAGTCAAAAACCATTTGTAGAGAAGTTACCATATCCCAAGGTTCCCTCACAGATAGATAAAGAAAGACAATTCACTAGGTTTATGGATATTTTCAAGCAATTGCAAATTAATATATCATTTGTGGAAGCTATGGAGCAAATGCCAACATACGCCAAATTCATGAAAGAGCTCTTAACTAAGAAAAGAAGATTTACTGATGAAACAGTAGAGTTAGAGGCAGGATGCAGTGCTATATTCCAAAAATCATTGCCTCAAAAGTCCAAGGACCCTGGAAGTTTCACTATACCAGTCACAATTGGTGAATTACCAGTGAAAAAATCATTACTTGATTTAGGGGCCAGTATAAACCTCATGCCATTATTTATGCCCAAAAGAATAGGAAACTTGGAAGTAAAGTCTACAAGAATGACATTACAGCTAGCTGACAGATCTGTAAAGATTCCTTATGGAGTAGTAGAAGATGTTTTATTTAGAGTGGATAACTTCATATTTCCTGTTGATTTTGTGATTATAGACATGGAGAAAAATGAGGAAGTCCCATTGATCCTGGGAAGGCCATTTATGAAGACTGTCAAAGTAATTATAGATGTTGACATGGACAAGTTGAAAATTAGAAGTGGAGATGATGAAGTTAATTTTAATCTGTTTGAAGTTGTACAATAACCGGAAGACAAGAAAGATTGTCTCAGAATAGACACTTTGGAGGAATTAACCATCTCAACTGAAAAACAAGATTACAAGCCTGTTGCACAACCCCAAAGACATCTTAGTCTGACTATGAAGGAAATTGTTCAAAGAAAGGTACTGAAACCTCCTGAAGCAGGTATGATTTATCCAATCTCTGACAGTTGTAAGGTTATTCGCAATGAAAAGAATAAAATCGTTTCCACAAGGACAGTTAAGGGATGGAGAATACGTATATATCACCTTGATCACTCACCTACATGAGCCCTAAAGCAAATAGGCGTCAAGCTGAAGACGTTAAACAAACGCTCTTGGGAGGCAACCCAATGTTTTGAATTTATTTTTTTCTTTTTGCAGTTTAAGTTTTTTATGCATTTTTCTTCCTTAGGTTCTTTCTTTGTAAGATTGCTCCAGGTACACAGTGCACTTCTCCTCAAGACTTTGAAGCCTTACTTCAATGGCCTGGGGACAGTCCAACTTTTCCGGAGGGGGTGAGAAAGTCTGCAGCTGAGGCTGAGACACAAGATAAGGAGTACATGACAAGTGAAAAAAATGAGGGAGGAAACTTACTTTGCTTTTAATGTTTTTAATTCCTTTGTTTTTAATTTAATGTTTTTAATTGTTCTATTTTAAATTCTGAATTCTCTTGTTGTCCCATAATTTGTTTTAGAGTCATATATGAGATTATTGCTTATTGTCTAATTCAAATCTAGAACGTGAAAAATAATTTTGATTGTTTCCAATAACAAGTGATTTTAGGATATTGAATATGATAGTGAAAAGGAATTGATGAGGAAAATTAAGAATTAACTGAATTGGAGAAGCTAGCAAAAACCCAGGTGAGCAGAGTACCACAAACAGATAAATTGAGTGTCAACATTTTGTGATGATAACTGATATTGGTTGATTCTTTGATGTGATTGCATGTTGGCAATACTTGAAAATGATAAAGACATTTTTTTTTCTTCGTAGTAGATATAACCTAGAGTCAAATAGACAACCATGCATTAATTATAGGACATCCATTTGAACCCCTTCTGAGCCAAAAATAATATTGTTTCTTAAACATAACCCTTAAGCCTAAACACTATTTATCTACCTTTCTATATTTGAGAAAAGAAATGAGTATGAATGTCACTATTTTTCTTATTGTTGGGTATTGCTATTGTTGTCCTACAGGTATTGTTGGGGTGTTATTGTAAAAAAAAAAGTGTAAAGAAAAAGGAAAAACAAAGCTTAAAAATTTGCAAAGCCAAAAAAAGGATACATGCAAAAGCAAAAAAAAAAAAGAGAAGCCAAAAGGGGGGTAATAACTTGTGAGATTATTAACTCATTGTCATTGTGTTAGGGACAAAAACATGAAGTTTGAAACCTAACTTGAGAAATTGTTAATCAAGAATCATTCATATGAGTTGAATTTTTCAAATATTTTTGTATATCCCAGAAAAACCAATAATTCTTTCTTAGCCCAGCCCCATTACAAGCCTCAAAAGACCTTTTGATTTAAATCTTGCTTAACAATTGTTGATTGCTTGAAGATGATTATCAATATTGGATTGTCTAAATGAAGTGATTAAATGAGATAAACACTTACCTGTGAGAATTAGAGATGAGTATATATAACTCTATTTGAGAGATATTGCTTCTCTGAGGATAGTTGAGGACTAATTATTCTTTGTTGATTTCTATAACTTGAACGCTTATGTGTTCTATTTTCATTTGGAGTTGTGAGCATCACCCCTGAAAGTTTTTATGTTGTGGTTCTAGAAGAGAAAGAGATAATAGGTGATAATTTTGTTTTAGAAAAATTACTTTGCTTGGGACAAGCAAGATTCTAGGTTGGGGGTTGTTAAGTGGTAAAAAGTTGATATAATTATGCCTTGAATTGTTATGAAACCACTTAACTTATGTTAATTCTAATATATTTTTCTCTCAATATAGGATGAATTCGAGAATACCTTGATACAATAGTAAGGAGCATAATTGTCAGCATAATTAGAGTAAAATTGAAAGAAAGAAAAGCGCTTAAGCGAATGAATGATGCAAGGCCCGACCCAAATTCTCTTATAAAAAGATAAGTTGTGTTTTGAGAAAAGCAAGCATTCTTGGAGGAGAGGAGGCACGACTACTGTTAGGGTTTTGTCTAATCTTCATCAATTCTTCACTTCTTCATCAATTGGAGCATTGTAATGGCCAACATGAGTGGCTAACTTCATTCTCTTAGGATTCGGTGCACTTCCTTTGAACTCTTTTGTATCATGGTAATATTTTGAGATATTAATTTATGCTTTGATGTTGTTATTCTTGTCCTTTATGTTTTGGAATGATTTATTTTTTATTGTTTGAGGTATGATTGGAAAATATATCTTGAACCCTAGATCACGGTAAGAATATTTGTTACGTTAATTGCCAGGAATGGAATGAATGTATCAATTGCTTAACACCCTAACCCTAATGCTGGAAAATCTATTAATTGTGTGAGGAATCAACATTTATTAGGTTTTCTTATGAATTTCATGTGTGAGGAATCAACATGGATGATTTGAGTAGGTGGCATAAACATTGTTAGGTTAATTGACGTTCTTAATTGACATAACCATTACAAAATAGGGATAAGGAATGAAGTCAATCCTAAGTACCTTTAATTGATATTTTCTCAACAATTTACAGTTCTTTGTCATTTAATTTCAATTCAACTCTTATTTGCAAAACCTAATCTGTTTTAATCTACTTAGTAAGCATAATTGAGAATTTCCATTGAAACTGTTCCTCGTGGGATCGACTTTTATTTAATCGAAATACTATACTACGATTAGTAATGTTGGTACGCTTGCCAATAATTCAACAACAATGAGAAACCTTCACCTTTTGTGCAGATTGGGGTTTTCATTCAAGGTTGCATTTTCGGGCTTTGGGACTTAGTTTTGTTTATTTGTTTGTTTGTTTGCTGAATGCTAGTATGTGGGGGTTGGATTGGCAGGGTTTGGTTTGTGATATGTGGCATTTTGTATTTTTGTTTGTTTTTGTATTTGGAAACTCTTTATTTGCGATAGAATATGTTTTATGTGGGTTGAGTATTGAGATTGTCTCCTTAGTTTCTAGATTGTTGGTTGTATGTTTTGATATGGTACTTTTAGTTTGTTTCAATATTTGGGGCTTATGTTTTGATGATCAATGTCTTGTTTTATTATGATGATAACAAACACGGTGCTCACGTTACATATAGTAATTGGAGAATGGGGGTGATGCTTTATGCCTGCGTTCTACCTCTTTGTTATCGAACTTATTTAAATTGCCCCTTTTCATTGGTAAAGTTATTCAGTGCAATAGGGAAAGTCAAGGTTTCTGTGGAAAAAAAATTGTGGGAAAAAAATGTGGCGGTTATTTGGCAACTACTAAATTGTGGGAAAAAATGTGACTTATGTGGCTTTTGTGTTGGTTGCCATCCAATTGTGGCGCTTATATAAAATGTGAGAAGTAACCAAATCTTTTGTTTTCTTTGCATAGGGAATGACACTCTTGACATTGTCTGCATCAGTTCCTGGCATGAAACCGACCTGTGATTCACAAGACAATTGCCATGCTACTAAGGGACAGAGTGCACTGGTGGGATCAAGCCTTGTGTTTCATCATTTGGTACTGACCAATTTGATGATGCTGATGAAACAACTGGTTCTATTTGTCAATAAATGTTGGTGCCCTTGTTGCTACTTCTCTGTTAGTGTGGGTACAAACTAATGTAACTAGTGATAGCTTCAATTCAATATGGGTTGTGATTCACAAAGATGAGTACATATAATGCATCTTATATGAAGATTTGTTTTATAATTATGGAATATTTCAAGTATAAATGGTTAGAAGAACCAGACCTATATCGACTTTGGTAGATACTAAGGATTGAGTGTACAAATGAAAATTAGTAATTAATATATATTGATATCAAGAACTAATGGTATGAATTTGGACTGAACCTATCCAGCAACATATTCTCATGATGAAATTATGATGTGGGAAAAATACATTACTTCATTTACAAAACACATTAATTATTATTAGTAACCAATCAGGTTAAATTCATGAAAGAAATTTATTTTATTTCTGTGAATTTTTATTATTTAATTTATTTATTATTATTTCATAGTAAATATTTATTTTCACTGTGTTTAATACTTATTGTTCTTTTGATGGACTTGCAGTTTATTTATTTGCCAACTAAAATCTTACCACTTTAGTCCTCTTGGTATTCTGCATCCAATAACTGTTTTCTATGAACTAAGTTTTGGGGAGACAGAAATGAAGCAAGGTATGTTGTTGAACTCTAATGTTGATAAGATAATTCTTTACAATGTACTTGTCATTAGAAAATATAGAAAAAAACTATAATATGCTGTTTGGAAATTTCATAGAGGAATGTATCCAAACATTTGGGCTTTTCCAATCTACTTAATCATTTATGATCTCAGCATATTAGTAATAGTGATTTATGAATTGTTCATGCTTTCTGTAGTTGAAGTTAGGAGATCCCTGCACTCAAGGTTGGGATTACCCTATGGTCGTCCCCTTCCAAGAAATTCTAATGCCTTGGATTTTTCAAAATTGAAGCGCAATGATATGGTCTCTCTACGTAAAGGTAATATATACATTTGAATGAGTAGTTCTTTATGCTCTATAGGTTCTCGGGATGGAAGATTGCATCCGGATCTTTCCAAGCTGTATTTTCTAATGCTAACTCCACAGATATCATATGATCTAAGTCTCTTAATAATATTTGTAATATTAGGTTCAACTTTGCTCAGAGATGTCCACATTGGGATTCCAAGTAGTGGGGGTTAGTTGTTTTTCTGGTTTCTTTCTTATTCTACATGTAATTTTTCTTTGTCTCATTTGAAATGCTTATGGTTTATGCAGTTGCCGGGGGAAATGTTTCCCTTATTTTCAAGGTTCCTATGAATACTTCCATTATCTTCACGAAGGTTATACTGATTTGGTAATTTCAATCCTTCTGCTTACTAATGGTTATAATATGTTTATTAAATACATGCCATCTTTATCTTGTTCTTAATTGAAATTACACATCTATGTGATTACAGATAAACCTTAGTTGTTTTTTGCTGAGTGGTATATTATCTGGTTAACTAAATCTTGTTTAAGGAGTTGCAAATTATGGTTTGGATAGTGATAGGGGAAAAATCAGTTGAAGTTTAAAATGATTAAAAATACGATATTTTACTAGTGTCTGGTAAATTAAGTGCTACATTCTGGTTCATGCAACAAGGTGGAGCATGTTTGGTGAAACTGAAGAATGAAAATCTCAATATCTCTAAGGATGAAATATTAGTATCTCGAGATTAAGTTTTGAATAGGTGGTTAAAACATCAAGTGAGTATTTCTTCATAGCAATCTATAGTGTATAATTTGAAATTCATTGTAATAAGTGATGTACTTATACATTTTCTCTTTGTAATTCTCCATAGCTGAAGAAATCACTACCTTAGTTATACAGATATCTAGTTTGTAAGAGCAGATGAAAACACAGCTGCAGGCACAAACTGATATGCAAGTATTGAAGCAAGCACACATGAAGACACAAACAGAAATGCAAACACTTATGCAATAACAAATACAAAAAAAATGCGGTCTTTCAAGAAATATTTATTATCTTCCTTAAAGAAACAATGAAGAAAATGTACTTTAAACTTTGTTTCTATTTTTGTGTTATATAGAACTTTTTAGTTGAAATATTATTTTTGTTATGTTTTAATTGTTTGAAATATCATTTTAACTATGTATAAATAATATTTTTATATTAAAAATTGATAAGTTTTTCTTCTTTTTTCAAGAATATGAGTAATAATTTAAATATTAAACATTTGATATTATAATGTTATGATGATACATTAGCAAGAATATTTATTACGCTAATAAAATTACGAGATATTAGCTACGAATTAGTAAGCGATTAATTATGAATTAGTAAGAATTAGTTACAGATTAGCGAAAAAAGAATTTTGATAATAATTGTGAGGGATTAGCTATGAAATAGCAAGAGAAACATAGTGAAGGATTAACTACGAATTAGTGAGAAAATAATTGCAAAATTGCGAGCGATTAACTATGAATTAGAGAGAGAAAAATTGCGACGGATTAGCTACAGATTAGCGAGAGAAAAATTGCAAGGGATTAGTTATAAATTAACGATAGAAAAATTGCGAGGGATTAACTATGAATTAGCAATAGTGAAATTGTGAGGGATTAGCTACGGATTAACGATAGTGAAATTGCGAAGGATTAGCTACAAGTTTTGGGAGATCAATTAGCTAGAGAAAAACAAAATTTCATCACTTAAATTAGTGAGGGACTTACCGACAGATTGGCGACAAAATTTGCTACAAATTTGAGAAAGACTATATCTCTATCTAATTAGCTACTTGGATTTAGCGACGAACTATTTCATAGTTATTCAGTAACTAATATGTAGCAAAACATACTAGTGAGAGATTAGTTATAAAATAACTACGAAATGTGTCATAGCTAATATTTAAAATTCTTGTAGTGTATTCTTTCACATTTTCTTAATTTTTTAATCATATATCAATTTTAGTAATATTTAATATTATTTTATATTTTAATTATTATTAGGTTTTATTATATCATAATCTATAAATTTTATTATTTTTATTTATCAAATATTAAATTTTAGATTAATTAAATAATTACATTTTTAAAATATTTAAATTTAAAGCTTTTATTAATTTACACTAATTCAATAAAAATATTTTATTAAATGTTTTTCTATAAATTAAATATTTATTAATATTTTAAAATATAAAATATAAAAAATATCTAATTTATACATATAATCAAAATATAATATTATAATATATAATAATATTAATAATAATAATAATGTTGTGAATATTTAATATTTATATTAAAAAATCAAATATTTTTAATACATATATATTTTAATATAAATATAATAAATTGAAATATATATTTATCAATAATAATAATTTAAAAATTATAAATATTTATTCTATGCATATTAAAATTATTTTTTAAAACTTATATATAATTATTTATTTTTAAACATAATATGAAACAGTCAAGAGTAGAGAAATCTAAAACCAAGTTGAGATAGGATGATAATTAATTATTTTGTAACTCCTAGGAGATTTTGCGGAGATGGAGATGATAATTAAATTTATAACTCTTTTGAGATTAGTCCAAGACAAACAAAGTTAAGAAGTCATAATCCACAAATTAATTAATATAATTACTTATTATACTCCTCATATTGTATAGAATAAATATTTATCTTATAAAAAATTATTTTAAAATTATGATAATTAATTTATACTCTAATGCAATGCTATTTTTAATTATAGATATTTAAAAAAAAATCAAATTAACAGTAAAAAATTAAAATAATTAATTAAAAAAATCGTGATCCAAAATATTTCAATTAAATAATTAAAATATAAAAAATAATCGGTCAATATTTTAGTTTTTTTTTTAACAAAAAGTACTTGTATGTTATTTTATTTTAGTTCAAAGTAATCAAATCATTTTTTCCAATAAATCATTCGACTTAATTATTCAAGAAGTTTTTAACTGTAATCCTCTATATTTTCATTCTTTGTTATTATTAAACGAAGAAAATTAATAAAAGTAAGGTTAGTTATGTTTTTAAAATGTTTACTGATTTTTTTATTATATTTAATGCTTTTTATTAATTTTTAAAATAAAAATACATTAAAATGATAACATTAATATTTCTTTTAAAACATGTTTAGGTTGCATCGAATTCAACTTGATCCTTACATTAGAAAATGGCATTGCTCTGAAATTTAACTTTTGATATTACGAAGATTCATTATTCATCGTGAAATAAAATTGTTTTTCTTTTCAGAATACGGTAAAAGTAGTGTAGTTTTTTTATTTTATTTTTAATTATTTTAATATGAAATAAATTAATATCATAGATTCGTTTAAAAAAATACTAAAGTAAATTAGTGTCATATTCAAAAAGAAAAAAAAATATTAAAGATCATATAAAAATACAAAATTATCTAAAATATTCTCTCCTTAAATATTTCTTCACAAGTAATCTAAAATACAAAATTAATTAACTTTTCGTAAAAAAATTAAACTTCAAAATAATTTAGAATATATTTAAAGATTTATTTTGAATAATAATATAATTTAGTTAAGATATAAATAAAATACATATTTTATATTTTAAGTTATTTTAAATTTAGATAGATATTTTTAAAATTATAAATAATAATTTATTAATTAATGTGAAAATTAATTGATTTTGTGAACATCGATCCAGTAATTTATTAAATATAAAAAAATTAATTTAAATTTTAAAATTATTTATTTATTAAAAATATTAAATTTTACATGTTTATCATTAAAAAAATATTATCTAATTAACTAAATACATTATTTATAATTTTTAAAATATATATCTTAATTTAAAATATATTACAGGATTTAATTTATTTTAAACATATTTTATTTAGATATAAACAAAATTATATTATTATTCAAAATAAACTCATAATTATATTTTAAATTATTTTGAAGTATAATTTAAAAAAAGAAGAAGTTATTTCCTCTGTTTCAAAATCAATGAATTTTTTGATAGAAAATTTTGTTTTTAAATATATGACTTTTAAAAAGTTTAAGATTGTATTAATTACTCTTTTACCAATTATAACTCTGTCTTTTAATAAAGGAATTTCTCAATATGTACAATGAAGAACCAAAAGAAGTTGTATATCATATTTGAAAAAAAAAAAATATAGAGGAGAATTAATTAGCGTTTACTAAAAATTAGAATTATTTACATTTTTATGAATTTGACATAAGGTTGAGTTACTGGAAAAAAAGTTCGTTGTCTTTTACCATTAATCATAAATAGAAAAGAAACATTTAATTTGCAAAAAGTAAAATTATCATGAAAAATGTGGTTTATTTATGTATATTGATATAAAAAAAATTCTTAAAATATATGTAAAAGAAAAATAGAGATAGTTTCCAAAAACATGAAAATGAAATCCTTTGTTTTATAACTGATTAAAAATTAACACCATGACAACGTGGTCAAATTTTATACGAGGTTTGTGTTATAGGCTGGCATTCTTTTGTGGCCCAATTGATAACAAAAGGAGAAGATTGGGCCCTTTTTTTCTTTTTTTGTCATATTGGACCTAGTTGTTCATGCAATATCAACGTTGTTTGATGTTGGTGAGAATGTGACATACTCCACTAAAATTTCAGATTTTTGAGATTTTGATAACAGGACAAAGACTCACCCTCCTCTCATACTTGAAGACTGGTAGTTGCGAAGGCAAAGAGGAAAGTAACTGGGTCCTAAACTCACTAGAACTAACTACTACTTCCATATGCATAAGCTACAACCATGATCATTGATTTCTAAGAAGCAAGGTAAAATCTACATAAGCCAAAACCAATTTGTGTATGATAGACTCAGCATCAAGCAAGTATGTGCTTTGTGGCAGAGGTTGTGATGGTGGTGATAGGTTTGTGGGGAGTGTTTCTGAGGCCAATGATGTTCCAATGTGTTGCAGAGATGGGAGTGGTGGTTGGATGTGCCATCTTCAGCCTCATAAGACAAAGGCCTTCTTGGATTCTCCCTAACTTTCTTCCATCGTAGTTCTTACTATTCTCATGGAAGAAGACTGCAATCTCCCACTTCAGCTGTGAGTTTTCTGCATATATGTATGTATTATGTATTCATTAGCCTTTGGCTATTCTTGTTGCCCTCTGTGGTTTCTTCTTTCAAAATATCTAGTGGTGATCACACTTTCAGTTCAATGTTTGGAATATTTACATGCTAGTTGTAGCTTCAAGTTGTAGGACTTAACACCTCCTTCACTTCTATTTTGATCACCATAAATAGGACTGGGAGGACCAAATTTTGGCACATCTTTCTTTCTTCATCATTGTGTTGTGTTATCCAAGTACTTAATAAAAACAATGAACCTTTAGTTTCTTTCCTGAAATTAGGTTCTGTTTTGTATTTCTTTTTTTGTCAATTACAAATCAAATTAGACCAAAATAAATATTTCAGAAATGTTCAAATAAGTCAATTTATCTCATTTGAGTTTACAAATTTACACTATTCCAATTTACGATGTTATCTTAAGTTAATAATGAAACAAAACTTGACTATCCCAAGTTAATTTCATTATAAGTAATAGATTGAGTTTACTCACCATTTTTAAAATAATAATAATAATAATAATAATAATAATAATAATAATAATAATAATTTTGGAGTTCATTATTTAAGTTAATATTAAAGTTAGATTATCAACCATTAATTTAAATCAATTCGTTATAAAATATATAATAGATTTAATCAATCCATAATATTTAATAGATTTATTGTGTTGACTCTATTTAAAAATATTTAAATAAAAAGGTATAATGGAACCATGCGGAACATTTGAATTTGTTTATCCTTATAAACCAAATTCATTATTTCTATTTTTTGATAGCCAACTTTAATAATATCTCTTATTTTAATTATATTTTTATTTTCGTCTAAAGATTCCAACTAAGATCTTCTTTTAGAAAATTAAGTCTAATACTACTCAAACGAACGACACGTTGATAAACTTTAACTTAAGAAGTATAAAATATTAAATTTTATAAAAACAAATTATAAATTTATGTTTTTTAAAATGAAAATAATATATAAGTATTTCATCTTAAAATTAAAATTTATATACATGATTCAACAATTTTACATGTTACTGAAAACTTTCATTGATTAATAACAAAAATAACACATTTAATTCTGATTTCGTATGTAAAATCATACTGATTGCGTTACAAAATTATCTAATTAAAATAAATTATCTTACTAGATTGTTTTTATAGTAATCTGTAATCAACAACATTGAAGAAGAAAAAACATTTTTTTCAAAAAATTTAAGCAATGGCATATTGTGAATAATTATTTTCAAAAAGCAAAATAACATCGAATATGCTAAATAACAACATATCAAACACAAATTTGAATTAAAATAAATGGAATAGATGAAAATATTGATTAATGTTAATCATATTCAAATTATCAATTTTTTACTGTATGTCTCATTAACAAAATTAATAAATCATTTAATTGTAAATATAATTATGTAGCTTTTAAAATAATAATAATAATAATAATAATAATAATAATATATTATAAAAATAAAAAATATTAAAAAAATAATACTAAAATTTTTATCTAATAAAAAATATAATTATTTTTACAATAAAATTATAAAAATTAATATCAAATTATATATATATATATAATTAAAAAATTATAACTTATGATGAGTTATATGAAAGAATTTTTATAGACTACTCAAACTAATTTAATTTAAGTTCGTAGTAAAAAGAATTTTAATTTTTTAAAATATATTTATTTTTCAAAACAGGTCTTAGTTTATAAAATATAATTGATTAGAGACAAAAGGAGTTAAATAAGATATATATTGGTGAGCTTAAGCCTAATTGTTTACTTATTGTATGCATTTTTCACGTCAAAAAATTTACTCTGCAAAGTCTATTTTCTATTTTATATATGCATAAAAAAATGGTATTCGGGCATACACACAGGTTATACCAATATTTACATATATTATTTAATGAAAATAGATAATTATATATATATATATATATATATATATATATTTAATATGTTGAGATGAATTTAAACAAATTTTGTATCACTTAATTAACTCAAAAATTATTATTAAGAATATTATTTAACATAATGTATTATACTAATGTTTGACAATCTATTTAATAACTTATTTTATATAATCAACACCAAAAAAAAAAACTTAGACGAATGAATCTAACAAAGTCAATAACTTTGTTCAATGTCGAAGTTATTTTTTATTTTCTAATGTTAATAGAAATAAGAAAATTAGTAAAAAGAAATATATCATTATATTAAAAATGGACTAATAAACAAAACATAAATAGTTCCCTTTTATCACTGGATAAAAAAAATGACAAAATTGTATAAATTAAAATAATTAAACAATAAAAAAAAGAAATATATTTGTATCTTCGAACCGTAACGTTATTAGCTATTATATATGATTATTATTTTCAAAAATAATAATTTAATCTTAACAATATTTTAATTATTTCGAAACCAATATAACAATTAAATTAATTTTTATTTGATCAATTAAATTATAATTTAAAATTTTTCATTGAAAATAATAAATTATGTATAGATAAAACATTTTTTGTTTAATTATAAATTATTATGTATAATAAAAGTAATTTATAACGAAATAAAATAATATAACACTACTTATATTTATTTTTCTTACAGCTGTTCGTAATCTTATTCTTTCTTTTTATTGTGTATAACATTTATGTTGAATAAATTATTAATATTTGTGAAAATATAGTTAAATGACAATGAATTAGTTATAAATCTATTACATCTAACACTTTAAAATTTCAAAAAATATTTTTCTTTTCATTATAAAAGTTATTATTTATATTAATAGTGTTACGTGCATATATATTATAATTATAATATAAACAAATGAATTGGTCAAACCTAAACAATTTTTTTTTCAAAGCATTTAAGTCTGACATTCTTTTGTTAAAACAAGGTTCAAAAAGTCTAAATCTGAACCTTTCAATAACTAGATTAAGTCAGACTTATGACAAGTCAGTTGGTAGGTCCTCATAGACTCTGCACTCTATTTTTAGCCTATATTTAGGATGTGATTTCATGGCTGAAGTCTTCTACATGTCATAACAATATTTAACCTATTTAAAAAAAATGCAAGAGTTAATCTTAAAAAAAAACAAAAAAAAAGAGAGTATAAAATACCCTTTTACGTAAAGTATGTTTTTTACACTCCATCTTCACTTTATTAATAATAACATAATAATAATAATAATTATTATATATATAATATAAAAAAAGGTGATTTTGGTTCTTAAGATTGTTTCAGATATTTTGAGAATAAAAAAGTGAAAGAGTGATCAATGTTAGAGTGGAATGAATGGGTCTTGGTGGGAGTGCCATGTTTTTGCTTAGACTTGAAATAAATTTGAAAAAGGAGTCAAACTCATAAATGTTTAGTCACATGTGAATTATAGTGATTTAGTTTGGAGTGCATTCACTTATTGGTTGCAAATTACAATTCCACACATTTAATTTGAGTTCCAATTTTCCATGTGTTTATAAATCAGGATTGCAGTGATTATCAAGTCTTTCTATCACCAACTTTATAACTTTCTAGTCAACCTGTTATAAATTCTGTTTCTCTTGTAAATTATGTCTAACTCTAATTCACAAACCACACAAGTTTCAATCTTGCTGAGTTTTCTCATTCAAATAAAAATTTTATTTCACTTCTAAAAGGAATTTATTATTTCTTCATGTTATTTTAATGAATATAACTATGTAACAATAAGTTCATTTTTATTTTATGTTTGTATAATTAATTCACATTATATAAATTAATTTCATGAGATAAATATAAGTTTTTTAAAAGTGTGCTTCAAAATAGGTGTGGAATAAGTTAGGTAAGCTAAAAGTAATACAAAGAGTTAGAGCTGAATTGAATTCACAAGATTAATAAATTCACTTTATAAGAATTTAATGATTTATTTTCTTGCAATTTTTAAAAGAAGAATTTAATGTAGTGTAAAAATAAAAACAAGAATTCAAAGTTGAATATAAAGTTGGACTTTTGGTCTTAAATTTTTGAAAATAGTGATATTTACTTGCATTTAATAAAAAAATAAATATCCAAGTTTATTTACATATTTAATAAATATTTCATAATTAATATTGATTTTGATAGTTAAATAATGATAAATAATTAAAAAAAGTATATATAAGTAAAAATAATTAAAATATTTTCGATAAGAGCCAATTCGAATTATTTTTTATCTTAAAAAATACAAAATATAAATTTATTGTATTATATTATTATTATTATTAAATAATTTATTATTGATTTTACTTTAATAGAATTTTTCTTAATAAATTTTAAAAAATTCACTCTTTTCCCTATTCTCTTTTATTTTGTTTAAACAATTTACCAATTCAGATTTTTTTTTGACAAAAAATTGTTTAAAACAATTAATAATTTAATTAAGTATATCTCAGCAAATAACTCTCTGATATGAATTAAATAATTTTATACTAGCATATATGATAAATTTCTCGACTTTCATTATAATTATCTTAAAAGTCTCATAAAAATATAATTTCCAACTGTTAACATTAAAAAAATCTTCACATTAATTGTAAATAATCATTAAGATTTTATATAAATCATATTATTAAATATAATTCTTATTATAGTTTTTGCAACGTCTATCTCATTATAATAAACAGTTTTTTTTCACCTTCTAGAGTTCTTAACAATGATGCAAATAGTATATGTTTTCATAAAAAAAAAAACTTTTTCCTTTTTTGTTTTTTTATTTTATTCAATTTCCTTCATATTTTGTATATAAATCATATTATTAAATATAATTCTTATTATGGCTTTTGCAACGTCTATCTAATTATAATACACCGTTTTTTTTTCACCTTCTAGAGTTCTTAACAATTATGCAAATAGTATATGTTTTCATAAAAAAAAAAATAACTTTTTCCTTTTTTGTTTTTTATTTTGTTCAATTTCCTTCATATTTTGTTATTTTAATTTAAAATTCATAATCCAACCTAAAAATCATACTTGAAAGAAATTATTTACAACCATTTTTTATTTATTTGCAACTAATTTGAGTCAATTAAACACAAAGACTTACCTAAATATTTGAATTATTATATGAAAGCAATTCATGATTATAATTGATAGGTTGTTTTCAAATGATTTTAAAAATAAAAAACTTAAAGTTCATATATAAAAGTATTTTATTTAACTTTAATTCTTCTTCAAGTATAACAGATAATTAATTAATCCTACCTTTTGAAGTCTTAATTATCTCTTCTCCCTCTACATCCATGATCATAAGAAAGAAAACTCTTAAAAAGAAGGGGTGATTGATGAACAAGAGTATCAGTAATGTGTCATGCGCATAGATTAATTTTGGCTATATTTCTCCTCAATCACCCCTAACAAATGCGATCATATGATGAATTTGATCACCAAGAACGTGTCATGCATACATAATATTTAGTTAAACAATTACATGGATATTTCCCAAGATGTTTTACATGATGTCTGCATACAATCCGCAAAAGCTTAGATAGCATATTTGTGCACGTCATTTCACATTTCATTGTTAAACCACGTCCGGTACCTATATAAAGGTGCAAAGAAAGTTCATGTTACTGTTAAAGTTACCATAAAATGTGCTAATTCAGCCATCTGTATCTAAATATATAACAGACATTTATTGCTCCCACACTGAATGCGGAAGTTAAGCAACAAAACTTCAATCCATCTAGAAGAAAAACAAAAAAACAAAGTGTGATTAATTCTCAAATTAAACCGAAACCTTCTCCTCTAGCTGTTTCCTTCTTTCCATCCCTAGTACACGCGACATATATGTGAACAATTTACTCATTCTTTTCTTTTGTCAGCATTAATTAACATTTAGTGCAAGGTACAGATATATACATTTTTACTATTATAAGTTACATATAAATACAACATACATTGGTGCACCGCTTCACGGTATTGTGATATAAAGTATAGAATCGTGGTGGGGGATTTCACAGTTGTAATCACAATACTCGGTGAGATCATTATAAATTCATTGTCACCTAAGATTATTAGGGGCACAGGGAAATCATAGATCATAAGGGTTTCAAAGCTGTGTCTCCGAAAGTTGAAGGTGCACATGGATCATCAAGTGATGGCAGACATAGAGTCTCGAAATGTGGAAGCCCCCTCTGATGTATTCCACAAAGGAAAACGTCAAGTAACACTTAAGGTATCCATGCATTTCACAACGTCCCTCTGTGTTTTCCCCTATACTGAAATTCTTGTCAGGTTTATATACATTCCAAGTCGCTATATAATTTTTACGTGTTTCTGTCATAATGAGTCGTTTTGTTTAGTCAGTAGTCCCTATATATATTCACAATCCTTTAGATTGTTACTCTTTTCATGGCTTCAGATTCTAGATTGTACTATTTTGAAAAGAGAAAATTATTTCCTATAATTTTTTCTTTAGCTTTCTCTCTTACTAATAGGGAAAAATAAGTTAATGATGGTGCAATAAGACGGTTTTGGTCTCATTCTACGATATATGTTTCCAGTTTTTGTCTCTTTTATTTTCAGAATGCTAATAAGAACCAATGTTGATTGTTTGTTAAACTTTGTGCAGTTTGATGATGTTGTCTATAAAATTAAGACAAAGAAAGGTGGATTACTTGTGAAGAACAGAGAGGCGGTTGTAAAAGAGATACTGAAGGGAGTGACAGGTGTTGTTGAACCTGGTGAAATGCTGGCCATGTTAGGCCCATCCGGGAGTGGCAAAACAACTCTGCTCACAGCATTGGGAGGCAGGCTTGGAGGGAAGCTTCACGGTAGCATAACTTACAATGGTGAAGCTTTCTCAAATGCCATGAAGAGGAACACAGGCTTTGTTACCCAAGATGATGTTCTCTACCCCCACTTGACTGTGCTTGAGACCCTGGTGTTCACTGCACTTCTCAGACTGCCCAACAGTGTCACCAAGGAAAAGAAAGTTGAGCATGCAAAAGCTGTGATGGATCAACTTGGTTTAACCAAGTGCAAGGATAGCATAGTTGGAAGTCCTCACTTGAGGGGGGTTTCTGGGGGAGAGAGAAAGAGGGTTAGCATTGGACAAGAACTACTCATAAACCCAAGCTTGTTGTTTCTTGATGAACCTACCTCTGGCCTGGACTCAACCACAGCACAAAGAATTGTCTCAACCTTATGGGAGCTAGCATGTGGGGGGAGAACTGTTGTGATGACAATACACCAACCTTCAAGTAGGCTATACTACATGTTTCATAAGGTGTTATTGCTATCTGAAGGGAACACATTGTATTTTGGAAAGGGATCTGAAGCCATTGAATATTTTTCTAATATTGGATATGCCCCATCATTGGCCATGAACCCCGCAGATTTCCTTTTGGATCTTGCAAACGGTAAGCTTTATGTTCCTATGTATTTTAGCATATGAGATGTTCTGTGATTTTTGTTGAACTATGGAGCAAAATTGAACCTTGACTAGCACAATTTCTCCCAAATGTGTATGTTTGGGCAGGGAATGACATTTTGACTTTCAAAATTTATAAAATTTATATCTAGTTATTCTGTTAAGGTGAATTAGACTCTGTTGCTAATAGTAATATCCTAAATGTGAGTTCTGGGTTTGAGCTTCTGATTTAAATCTTTGTGATGGGTAAACAATTGATGTTGGATTATTCCAAGTCGCTTTGCTAATTCTGGAATAACTGCAGGTATCTACACTGATGAAAATAATGCAGATCATACCATAGATAAACAGAAATTGATTTCTGTGTGTAAGAGAAATTATGCTGCACAATTGAAGTCATCACTTAAAGGAATCAATGACTCTGGCAAAGACCAGAATAGATTTCAAGAAAAGGAAAAATGGCCTACCAACTGGGCACAGCAATTCCTTGTACTATTAAGAAGAGACATCAAAGAGAGAAGGCATGAAGCATTCTCTGTTCTGCGGGTTTGTCAGGTCCTTGTGGTTGCTCTTGTTTCAGGACTACTGTGGTATAAGTCTGATATCTCACACTTGCAGGATCAGGTAAAAATTTCAAATATCTGGCTTTCATTTTAGATAGACAGAATCAATGTGCTTCTAAGGTACAACTTCGTCTCAAGAGGGGTGATCAAGAAAACATTTCTCTTGTCTCAATCCTTCGTAAAACTGCAGTTAACTTACCCTGTACTCATTCAGCGCACATAGAATTTTTTTTATTACAGTTTAACAGATCTAAAAGCATAAAATTGTAAATTTACTAAGTTATTTTTTGAATGGACAAATATTAGACGTGGTTTCTTAGGTGTTACTATATTGCTCTCAAATCAGAATTAGAATTTATGTATATATATATATATATATATATATATAAAAGAATGTATTTAAGGTTAGAATAAGTTACAAAACTGAAACTTCTTCTAATTAGAACATAAAGTCAGAAACACGTATGGACCTGAATCTAAGTATTGTTCTTTTAGAATTTATAGGTATAATTGGTTTTCATTTTGGGGCAGAGAATTAAATTATGATAACAATGACCAAAATAAAATTTGGATTCATTGATTTTAAGCTGATAAACTAAACTGTAAATGCAGATTGGGCTTCTATTCTTCGTATCTGGCTTTTGGGGTTTTTTCCCTCTCTTCCAAGCAATTTTCACCTTTCCTCAAGAGCTAACGATGCTACAGAAAGAAAGATCTTCTGGAATGTACAGGCTTTCGTCATACTTCATGTCAAGGGTGGTAGCTGACCTTCCCATGGAACTTGTTCTTCCCACCATATTCCTTTTCATAACCTATTGGATGGCAGGGTTGAAGGCCAAAGTGGTCAACTTCATTTACACGCTTCTCGCTCTCTTACTCAATGTGTTGGTAGCACAAGGTCTAGGCCTGGCCCTTGGTGCTTCTGTAATGGATCAAAAAGCTGCAACCACACTTGCCTCAGTCATCATGCTATGCTTTCTGCTGGCTGGTGGTTTTTATGTTCAACATGTTCCAAAGTTTATAGCATGGATTAAGTACCTTTCTATAAGCTACTACACCTACCAGCTCTTCATTGGGTCTCAATACAGCTATGGCGAGACATACCCTTGTTCCAATGGCCAGTGTCCTATTGTGGAGTTTCCTTCTATAAAGGAAATGGGGGTTCATTTTGGATTGCATGATCAACTCATGGCTGCATTAGGTCTAGTGGTAATGCTCATAGGTTACAGACTTATAGCCTATCTTGCTCTCATGAGGATTGGAGTGACAAAGAACTAGCCCAGTGTACTTCCCTATATCAGGTTTTAGTAGTACTTAACTTAGCCTTTTCATTTTTTCTCTCAATTGGAAGTTAAATCTAGCCCTGTAGTGTCGTGCACCCCTTCATGCAGAAAGGGAAGTAGCTAGCTAATGTGAAACTTCTGATGGAACCAGTAGCATATTTGTTTGCTTTGAACTTTTCCATCTAGAATAACATTAAGGTGATAGAAGCATGATTATTCAGAGTATCTGTTATGTAAGAATTCAATTTGAGTTTTTAAATCTCTTTTTAGTATGTTCTGTGTTGGCACATAAAATTTAAGTATTTTTTCTATTCTTTTACTCTATTAATAAAATCTAACTTAAGATTTTACTAATTTTTTGGTAACTTTCATTTTATTTATCTTTTTGCTACTCATTTTAACTTTTAAAAATTTATAAAATAATAAATAAAATCATTGCAACAAAGTTATTTATTTTATTTAAGTTTATGCGCAAAAATCTACATAAATTTAGGATATTAATTTCGTGATCACAGCTACTACAAACACGTGCTTAAACGCTATTACAAACAAATTACTCAAAAGTAAATTATTATTAAATATTAAGTTTGAATACTTTTATAAGTTGTACCATTATAATTAAGTTTAGAATAATTCGTTAACTAAACTTTATTCAATCAAATATTTTCTTTTATTTTGACTGTAACTTTTCTTTATGAAGTTATTAATTGAAGTATATAAAAAATATTTTCCAAATAAAATAAAATATTATAAATATTGAATTATAAAAGTGTACATAATGGACGTTACCCTGGCACTTGACTTAATAATAATAATAACAATAATAATTAATGTTTTCAAAATGTAAAAATTGTTTATAATATTAACTTTTATTATAACTAATTAAAAAAGATAAATAAATAATATATTTTACACCGATACTAAAAATAATTTTCTTCTGATATTCTTACTGAAAGACAAAAAATAAAGATAGTGATTTTTTTCTTTCATCGTGAAATTTTAAAGTGTTTTCTACTGAATAGCGAAGTAAATTTTATTCGTAATGATAAATTTTATTTATCTCTCCATTCGATAGTCTAAAACAAATTCTTAAAATACCAATCACTTGTATCCTTTGAATTCATTATCACCACACTAAAACTTAAGTACTTTGTCAGAATTTTAAAAATACTCATATTAAGAGAATTTTAATAAATTTTATTTTTTAAAGATTTAAAATCAATTTTAAAAAATTATTTGATAAGTTTAGTTCGAAAAATATTTTAGTTGGGAAAAATCATAACAAAATTAGAATACGGTCTTGATAATTTTACAATGATAAATATAGAATATGCAGTATAACTATTGATTAAAATTTCTGTGAATTAAGTTATGTTTATTATTTATAGGTTACTTTTTTTAATTCATTTTTTATTTTATTTTTCCTTAATACATCCATTCTTTTATTTCTTCTCTTTATTCATTTTTTTCTCATTATGCATTCTTTAATTTTTCTCTCTTCATTCATTTCATATTTTTCTCTTTTTCTCTTTCTTTATTTTTTTCTTTTTCTTTTTCTTTTCTTTTTTTCCTCTTAGTATAATTCTTCTAATTAAAAATATTATATTTAAATTGATTAAAAATTAAAATTAATATTGAAATTAAAAAATCTCAATTAATTATTTAAATTTATGATAAAGGTAAATAATTAATTTAAAATTATATTATTATAAGAATTTAACTATTTATCTAATTAAAAAATATTAAATATTTATTATTTTATTTAGTAATTTAATTAGTTATAATTAGATTGAGTTATGATTAGTAGTCTCATTAAGTAATTTTAAAAAATTATTTATTAAAAATATTTTGAAATAAAAAATAAAAATATATTTTTAAAATTTAAATTATATTAATGAAATTAATGTTTATTTAATTATTTAATATATAAATTATAAAAAAAATTTATTCAATCTAAAATTAGAGTTAAAAAATTATTTTTTATTATCATAATTATTTTTTTAATAATTTATTTATCTAAAATAATAATTAATCTTAATTATTAAATTTTAAAATAAATAATTATCAAAAATTTATTATAATATTTATTTTTAGAATAAGTGAATCTCTTATTAAATTATTTTATAATAAATATATATATTAATAAATAATAATAATATTTTTATTTTAAATATTATTATTCCTAACTTAATTCTTCATTTTTTATTTCCTTTCTAATAACAAAATACAGATTATTATTACACAGTTGTAAATTTTTATTCAATTTAGAAGTTAGGATTTTGTGAACAAGTATTTATACAATCGTTAAATTACTAGTTTCAATATATTAAATTAAAAGTATACACAGTCATTAATATATATATATATATATATATATATATATATATATATATATAATATTATTCTTTTTATTTGAATTAAATAATCTATTAACAAGATTTAACATAACATTATTATAAATTAGAAAAGTCAAAACATAGTACCCTGCCATTAGTGGTCCTTCACTAGTAATTGAATGTTACTTTAACATACATTTTTCACACATTTCTAAATAATTTTGGATTGTATTTTTCATAATTTATCAATTGAATACGAGTTCTCATAGTTAAATGGCTTCAATTAAATTCTTTTGAAATTTTAATAAAATTCAATAAAGTTCGAACAACATTGTGTAACACTTCAATACTCTGTATTTTAATTATAACTTAATTATTTTGCATTAAATAATATATTCTTTTTATACATTGTGTTATTTTAATAATACTAAATATATGTAAAAAAATTGTTTCCACACATTTAAGTTTAAATATATATATATATAAAAGTGAAGCTTCGAAATTTTTTTGTCCATAGTGTTAAAGACTATGCTGATGAGTTCAAACCCCATTTTTAAGCATATTTATATGATTTGGATAAACTTTCATTATATATGAGAATATAAAAAAAAAGGATATAAATAATTGAAATCACATATACTAAAATAAACTAATACAGAATTTTTAAAAAGTAATTAATAAATCATTAAAACTTTTTTCAATATTTAAAAAAAATCAATTTTTCAATTTTAAAAATTGAAAAATTTATTTGTCATTATTTTGTTATAATAATTTTAATTTTTTTTATTTATAAATTAAATTAAATTAATAAAATTTATTTTTTATGAATAATATACACGTCTTTATCAATAATTATATTTTGTTACTAGCATAATTAAAATTAATTATTAAATTTCATTAAAAAAATTAAATTCAAATTATTAAATAATTTTTTTATTATTTTAAAAATTTGAGAAATAAAACTAATTCAATCTAATGTTTAATAGTTTCTATATTTCTGTAAGTATTATTTAAAGTTCTTTTAGAAAGTGGTGTAAATAATAAATTTTTTTTATTATTTTAAAAATTTGAGAAATAAAACTAATTCAATCTAATGTTTAATAGTTTCTATATTTCTGTAAGCATTATTTAAAGTTCTTTTAGAAAGTGGTGTAAATAATAAAAAAATATTATTTAAAAATTTAAAAATAACAAATAGATAGGTAAAAAGTTGGATAAATAATAAAATAATAAAAAATATTTATTGTGTTGTGTTCAATTTAATTTTTTTTAAAATATTATAATTATTTCTAGATTATGAATCAATTTTATAAATAATATAATTTAAAAAACATTTAAAGAGAGTTTTTACAAATTTATTTATTTAATTAAATTTTTACTGCTTATACATAAAATACAATAATAAAAAATAAAATTGTCTGTTATAAAATAATTATTTGTTTTTTTTCTCTTTATTATAATGAAAAATAATTTTTTTCTAATATAATATACTTTTTTTCTCTTCATTTACTTATTTACTTATGCTATTTCTTATTTTTAATCTTCATTTCGTACTTTTTTTGCTCATCCGCTCTTGTTTTTCTCTTATTTTATATTATTCTTCTAATTAAAAATACTAACTTAAAATTTGATAAAATGAGTTTTTATTCATTTTGAAAAATAAAAATATTTAAATTATTCAAAAAAATTATATTTTAATAAATTATATCTAAAAAATAGATAAATTTTGAGATATTAGAAATGTTATAGTTATTTTTGTAATTTTAAGAAAAAAGAAAATATTTATTTTAAAATAAATTTTTAATAAATAATTTTTGAATTACCTAATCTAACTAATTATCATAACTTATCTTAATTATAACTAGATTAAATTATTAAAAAAATATATTTAATAATCAATATTTGATATTATATTAATTAGATAAATAATTAATTTATTATAATAAATTAGTTTTAAATTAATTATTTATATCATATTAAATAAAATCATTTATGTTTCATCGTAATCTTAAATAATTACTTGGTATTTTTTAATTTTAATGTTTATTTTAAAAAATTTACGTATTTTTATTAAAAAAATAATCTTTTAATTAAAAGAATAACCCTTATTTTCTAGACTTACCACAATACTTGTCAGAAAAATGTCTCATGCTAAAATATAATTACGAAGGGAAAAAGGCCTATATTTCACTTGTAATAAAAAATTTAATCCCTTTCGTAGGTGTCCCAATTAACAGTATCTTATTGATATGAATCTCAATTACACAAGGACTAATTTAAGATCTTTAGGGTTAGAACCTTGTAGGAAATTTAGGAATTAGAAAGAAGGTGGAAGGAAAAAATCACTCTTCCCAAGGGAGGCAACACACAAAGGATGTGAAAGTCCTTTGATACAGCCAAGGGTTCTTGAATCACTCACGAATTTAAGAGAATCACTTTCACTAAGATAAAAGAGATAAACTATAATATTTTTGAATAAAATTTCACTTATTATTTCTTGATAAAAATGGTTCAGTTGATATAGAAGCGTTGTCATCAGAATTACAAAGACTTAATAAAAGAAAATAAATACTGATAATAACTCATTAATCTAGGAATTGAAAACTATTTAATGGAAACAAATAAAGGCTAATAATAATTTATTAACCTAGGAATTGAA